AACAGACACCGATTGCTGAAAATGCATAATGTCTCTCTTAGAACCAATGCATTCTAAACGTACATTTAAAAAAATTGATAGCTACTAAATATCTTTAAATAAATTTGAGTTTGATGGTCGGACGTTCTGTATCCCATTGGGAAAACACCCATTTGTTTGGGTAATACTCGAGTATAGCCATTGGGATAGGACGTGGGTATGGATTTTAACATATTATATCACCTGACTGTTTATTTCAGGAGCCACTACTTAGTTACAAACAACAAAATGTTAGTATTATTCCAAGCAATAGTACTTCATTATCAGCCAGTGATGGAAGTGAGCTGGAAGGCAAGGTGTGTAGGATCTGTCATAATGGAGGTAACGAGGAAAAACTCTTGTCACCATGTCGATGTTGCGGGAGCGCGAAGTATGCCCATCAAAGCTGCCTGATGACTTGGTTTGAGAAGAAAAAGAACAAGATTTGTGAAATTTGTTTATATGAAGTGAAATTGGTACGAAAGGGATTTAAATTTCCTACCAGGGTGAGTGACGTGGAACCTTTTTAAGTTGTTTTATATTCATTATTCTTGATCTGTCCACCGGCCGTTTGTTCCGTCACACCCGTCAAGTCCATCCGTCAATCCATCCATCTATCTATCCCATCACATCTCGTCTGTCCGTCTCTCCTGATCCCACAATCCATTCACCCAATCTGTCCCATATCGATTTTCCGTCCATCCTTTCATTTCATYCATTATCGATCTATCCTTTCATCAATCCGTCCAATATCAACTTGTATCTATAATCCGTCTCTTCGTTCAATCCTACCCCATCCTTAAACCACCCATCTGATAGGAAAAATGTGAAGTTCTTTTTACATAATTTGTTATTTTCATGATTTGTTCCAGTGGAAGCTGCCCGGAACGTCATGTAACTTCGTCACGTTTCTCTTCATGTTCTACTGTCTAGTGCTTACAGCATTCATTTCAATGGTACTATGGGTAGCATCTAATGGCTGTACAACAACAGTCTGTGTCGTACTCTACTTCGTCAGCATTCTCTCTCTCATTTATTTTACGTACTGCTGTGGCTTTATGAAGCAGATTGTACATTACTTGACTGACTGTTTGGACATGAACAGAGAAGTTACCATCTTGAATAGAGCAGAAGACTGTAAACCAATCAGATCATCGATCATAGAAACTGGAATAACGAGCTAGCAGGAGTTGATCCAGGCATCGGAGCAAGGAAGGGGGGGGGGGGGGGGGGGGGGGGGGGGGGGGGGGGGGGGGGGGGGGGGGGGGGGCAAAACTGACTTCTAATTAAACCAAATTAAAAGGGGTTATGCTGCGGCACCTTCGGCTCAACCTTGTCTCCTGACAATGCCCAGCATAAGATTATAGTACGTAAATATGATTGCATGCGGGGAGTTAACTGCTTTTGGGCCTATGAAGCCGGACCCAAGGAAGATACGATCACAATAGCCGTAGCTAGACAGTTTCGCGTTTAGTTTTTAAAATCGCTTCAAAATCATGATTGACTTTTATTGTATTGATAAAAAAACCTATTCATATCAATAAAAATAAAAATTGCGCTAGCGATATTTCCTTATAAGAAAAATGAACTTCAAAAATATCCATAAAGACTTCTTGAGCATCAGCATATTAGACAAACGCTAGCCACGGAGGTCACAGGAGACGATAAAGTGGTTCTCCACGCATGATTTGGGGCTCTCCTCTCTGAGCATCAGCATATTTGACAAACGCTAGCCACGGAGGTCACAGGAGACGATAAAGTGGTTCTCCACGCATGATTTGGGGCTCTCCTCTCTGAGCATCAGCATATTTGACAAACGCTAGCCACGGAGGTCACAGGAGACGATAAAGTGGTTCTCCACGCATGATTTGGGGCTCTCCTCTCTGAGCATCAGCATATTTGACAAACGCTAGCCACGGAGGTCACAGGAGACGATAAAGTGGTTCTCAATGCATCATTTGGGGCGCTCCGACCTTTATCTTCCATGCAAGCTTTCAGTCCCAGGCCTGTTATGCGCTGAGCTGGAATTCCTTAGCGATCGAGAAAGCAAGTGCGACTTATGGTACCAGAGTATTAACAGCACACCGGCGACACCAACAGCAAAAATGTTGTCAGGCAGTTTGTCAGATACGAGTGCCCAAAGTTTAAGAGCAGCATGGGCTGTCCGCTTGAGGGTAAGACGAGTGCAAAGGCGAGGGCACGTCTTTGGGGAATGTTTGGGGGGGGGGGGTTATTTATTTTTATTGTTCCACCGCTATTTTATGCCTTTTCCATTGCTGCACAAAATTAGCCACGCGGGACTGAGGGCGCTGTTAAAAAAGTGAAACTTTATATTAACAAACGAAATAGTATTGAAACGCAGTACCGCGAACCGTTCTCTGCGAACTGCCAGGTTCCAAGGTTCTGGCTCTTAAGAACGTCCCTCTCACTTTTACTCAGTTTAAAGACTTCAAACCCTTCTAAAATGTATCGTGAATGCGAGGTTAACATGGAAATACAAAGGAAATCACGTTTTTTCTCGATGAAATTTGTGGAATTTCTTCTGTATTTCCATCGTTGTCTACAGATAAATCCAATACTATAGCCATTTAAAATCATTTTATAGAGTGAAGGCATTTAACCCGTGAAATACAAAATACTAGTCAACGTGTAATAGTTAAATAGACACAAAAGAAAACAATGGAATTAGGGTCTACTAAAGTGTATTAGTCTAATATCTACTTCACGGGTTTAATGACTTCACTCTAATGTAGCCTGCAGAGCAGGCGTTCTTGTGATGGGTTTGAGGAAGAATACTCTAATGAGCATTATATAGCTGTAACTTTTTGATTTTGGAAGAGTTCATAGGTACGAGTCAATAATATAGCATTTTTATTACACTGATATCAAATCAAGAACAATAGTAAACAAGACATCTTTTACATACTCATTTGTAGTAATTAATATAATAATATCTAGCATCACATTCCCAATTTCCTCTATCCCTTGCAGACTTTTATTCAAAAAATCAATATCAAAAATAATGATAAATAACGTTAACTGAACTAATAAGGCAAAATCTTGAGTCCAAGACAGTGGCGGATTCAGGATTTTTCAAAGGGGGGTTCCGTTTCTTAAACTGTGTATAATTCTCTTTTGTTTAGTCGATATTTGACAAAAAATTGGCTCTAATCACCTAATTTACTATCTAGTAACGGACCAAGCTATAATAACACGACCCAACGCAAAACTACTTTTTTTTAATTGAAATCTATATAAGACATATTTCTATTACCTAAAAGATCAAACCTTCAAGGCCGGGGGTTCCGTGGACCTCTTCGACCCCCCCTGGATCCGCCACTGCAAGAGAGCTTGACTGTCCACATTCTATAATCATCCCCCTGAAACAATCTCCTTTGCAGCTAAAATTTGATGACAAAATTTAAAACCTTGAATTTCAAATATACTTATAAGTAGGATTCTATTGGCCGCGTTTTCCTCCTTTAGACCCCTTGCACTAGTTCTCTACCCACTTTGGGTTATAACCACTTTTCTTCTCCTAAAATTTGAACAAATTTCTTGTGAAAATGTTTTTTATTGGTTCAAACCCCAATTTAAGACCACACGCAAGCTGCATTACCCTGTCAAGATACGTGTAATGTCTTCCTTACAAAGCTTTGCAGAAATGTGGCTGAGTGTTGCATTGAACTCTGGAAAAGAGATCTTCAAGGCTTTTCACCACTCTTACAATATGACAGATATATTAAGCACTCCATTTTGTCTCTCCCTAATAATATCGAAGGAACGTATTTAACTTAGGTTGAGCAAGCAAAAAGTGGTTTATATTGCTATGTTCCTGGTTGGATCTGGTTTTTGACGGAGAAGATCTTTGCATCAACCAACCAAGAAAAGGCCTGCACACCATGCAAAAGTAGGCTAACAGAGCAGATAAACAAATACATTAAACAAATTTTCCAGAATTTGCGATTTTCATTCTTGCAACATCATTTCTAGTCCAAGCTCAACTTTACTTCTATACTTGCATCAATACTGTCGTTTGCATCTAGGGGACAAACACCAGACATCAAAAACTTTTCTTACTGAAATGTTTGTCAAGAAAGTCTCTTTGACTTTCACAAAAACTTTTTAGAAGCCAGTTATAAAGCATACATGTATTTTGATGTCTGGTACTCGTGCATAGATGCAAACGATGGTAATAGAAAAACCATAATGAAATCACAAATCACAACTGTTTTATACTATAATAGTCMCTGCAACCCTTGTTAACAAAAGATACACAATCTGCATTTTCTCCAGGAAGTATTTTCACATGAACGAGCTAATCGGGGTCTCAGCCCCTAAGTTCCCAGACCTGCTGGGAATGTCCAAAGTGTTATATCATCCATGTTATACATGTGCAAGGATTTACACCTATATCTTTTGTCAATTAAGGGCACAATAAACTTTGTAATAACGATAGATTTGATCAACTTAAATTAACTTAGCTTATACCAATAATTCCTATTAAAAGACTGTTGCTGGAGTTTTGAAACATAATTTTTACATAAAACTTCAGCACAAATCACATAAATAATTATACCTAGCTAACAGACTGTGCAAAAAAATAAATTGTTGATACCACACCTTATAACGTTTGGCAGAAAAGAGTGTCTCACTGATAAGAAAATGCCAGCTCAATCATCATCATTTATGCCAATTGTGAATTTTCCACCAAGACCTAATGCCAAGCACTTCAACTTTTCACAGTAAGGTAAGATTTTCTTTGACCAATAATACAGTTTTGAATATCCTTGTTGCTCAGGGTTAGCCTTAAAGTTATGTCAAATATTCATGTGTTCCAGTGAAGGTGCATGGAATTACAAAGTTTTCGTATATTAGACATAACTGGTGCATTCTTTACTTTACCAACGGTTGTTATTTTTCTAATATTTTGACACTTAAATGAAGCTAACCCTGAGAAACTGTACTCAAGGAACAGAGTGTTATTTTATGAAATTGATAAAGCTGATGTATAAAATAATGTACTCATGCATAAGCATATATTGCCCATGCATTTCACTCTCCACAGTCAAATCAATTTTTTCTTTACACAAACCATTGCATTGTAAAGGAATTTTTGCATAATATAAGATATTTTTTAGACCTCCATACTTCAATCAACTGTAGTTAAATGACATTTAGTATTTGTTCAAACCAAACAGCCTGACCTTGTACATCTGAGGAAACTTTGGTATCAGAGATAAAACAACCAAAGAGACAGCATTAACTAGAAAGTGGACACCATCATAATTTGTGTAAAAGCTGGTGATCATAAACCTTTTAGAAACAAGAACAAAAATATGTCAGTAAAACACAAGTTTAGTGTTGCAATGTGTGGGTGTGAGCATGCTCAGTGCAAGCCTGCCCTGGTGATAGACATCCCACATCAAAAAAATGGAATTTCAGCTCTTGATATAAATAGCTTGTCCACCCTTTATTGGATAATAAGTTTGTACGTTTTTGTATGGAGCCTGAAAGTAAGCTTCACGTAACGTTCGTAGGCAGATGATGCAAGACAATTGAAATACGTTTAATTATCAATCTGCTAACATCTTAGTGAGTGAGTGAGTGAGTGAATGAGTGAGTGAGTGAGTGAGTGAGCGAGCAAGTGACACATTTGCATATTCAGACCCCTCACAATAACTTTTTTCTAGACTTTGCGTATCCACAAGTTAATAATTAAAAATTATACAATTTTTGATATGAAAATATGATGAATACTTACAGCAATATAGGAACAAGGGTGAAAAACTTTCTTGTAAGGGTAAACTGTGTTCCTTGGTCAATCTGTTCCCAATGTGTTAGACGCCTAGATCTTCCTTGATCAGATGTTTCAAATGGAGTACCCTTTAAGTAATGTAGAACTAAAAACACAGACTGTAGAGAAAAGAGATACGTCATATAATTATAAATAGTTCAACTAATATAAATTATTGAACTCATACAACTTTACTTTGACTAGCATACGCCTATTTCTAAAAAACGTTGTCGGTCCGCAGAGTCTGAAATTAACTTTTGAGCTAAGTGGTCCTTTGGACAACCATGTTCTAATTCTTAGGCATCCAGAGCAGAACTTAGGAGTCCCACTTGGACGCCATTTTGTAGAGCCTGAATGACAATGGTCAGCAGTTAGTCATAATGCAGAAGATGCAATAAAATTTGTCAGTGATATTCAATGGCTTCCAACGAATGCGTTATCTCGAATTTTTGAAAGTTTATCAGTTGAAAAATGAACTTTCTAGGTTTTAAGCAGAAGAAATATAATTTAGAATTATATTCGGACTTTACAGACTCTTTTATATTTTTATGAAAGAAAACACCTCGGCAAAAACGTAGGTTGTCATAAGGACAACCACATTCCAAAATTTAGTCATCATTTGCAAATTTTAGTCGTCCCTGATGACTGGACGACCGCTATTTTCGGACCCTGGTCTGACATCTAAAATGGGCGATCTGAAACTAAACATAATTTTTTGTTCTTAATGTTTTCTGGCTAAATACAAAAAGACTACAATGAAACTACATTGTTCAGCTGATCTCCTACCAACAATGGTTTTTTTTAATATTTGTATCAGGGCTATTGCATTTTGAGGTTTTCGGCCCTTTTTTTCTACCTTTATATTTCAAAAAAAGGCTGAAAGTCCTAGCTAGAAAGGAAGAGGAACTCTTGGGTGGAGTGGGAGGGATTGTTAGAAATAATTGCCATTGTGGCCACATCATTAGGGCTTCAACTATCATTTAAAAAATGTTGAATTATTGTCAATCGTTACCAAAGAATATGCAAAAACAATACATGTAAGCTGATATGATGATCATAACAAAACATGGCATTGCAGAATTAACCCACAGAGGATAGAGTATTAGTTAGGGGAGGATGGGAGTTAAAGATTATCAAAGATCATGGAAACTCTCTAACTTGGAATAAAACAGGCAAAAGAAAATGAAATTATTGCAAAGCAAGTGATGGTCCAGTAAAAACTTCTAAAACTTCTAAAGTTTCAAATTTTAAGTTTCAAGTTTGAAAGTTTAATTTCCATCAAGCAAACCTTCATTTGTTTTAAACTTTGTTATGTCATGTATTTGACAGCCCACCTGTAAGCACTTTCTATATCCCTTACGAAATTTTCATGCAAGTGACTCAACTATATCAATAATTTATAGCTTATTCTTGGGGTGCAACCACATGACTCAAAATCCCTTGAGATATAAAGAACAGTGAAATACATGTAGCCACAATGTTGGTTGATCTAACAAGAGAAGCTAATTAATGAATAATGCTTTGTTATTGTCAACTATCATTACAGCCATGGCATAACATGCACCCCAAGAACAAATTCTTATGTTACTACGATTTTCACAAACATGTAAACTCTGTGTTTCGTGCTGAAAGTTGGTTTTTCATTGCTGTCAATCAAACCTAATCAGTCAGTACCTTTCATATTTTTGACTGGCAGCAGTGAAAAACCAAATTTCAGTGTGCAACTTGGAAACACAGAGTTCGCATGTTTATGAAAATTGCAGTAAGCTTAATTCAAATTTGTTAGATAAAAATGTCTTATAACAAAACTTGCTATTCAGTTAAATCTTGAATAAGTACAAAAATCAATATGGAGTTGGAGCAAAGTTTATCAATTAAAATAAATAAATTAAAAAAATTTCAGAAATGATTTTAAAAATTTAAATATAACGCAAACAAACTTGTAAGGTTTACATTTTCTTATATGTACAAAAATCAATATTTGTTCAGCTGTAGGAAACCATCTTTTTTCAATTTCCCTGACTCTTCTGTTGTTTAAAACTGTCACTATTAAACGTTTTGAAACGAGAAAAGTTACACTATTTTTAGTATTTACTTAAGCAGGAGCTAATTATTTATATGAATTAATCTTCAAAACACAAAATAACAACATTAAGCATAGCAATGAACAAAGATTTAACCAGTTTGACGAAAATATTTTGCATGATGTTACGTGAGATAAAACAGTTTTCCAAAATGAATCCAACTATAAGAGATCTTAAACTTTTCGTAAGTACTCTACATTCATAAGAGGAGTCTAGTTGATGATATGAGTGCGAGGAGAAGACCTAATTAAGGATCTAAGCTGCAACATGAATCAGAGAAAAGTTGATGGAAAAGGAAAGTATCATTCTTACCACGTTATGTACAGTATTAGTGATGGTCCAGGCGGTGGCTGTATCGAGGAATGGCACACTTAAAATCACAAGATGACCGATTATTATCAATAAAATATAAGTTAGCCATGCTCCTCTGCTATCCAGCCAAGCTTCATTGGGGTTGCCGATACTGTGGGCTGTTCCAACCTGCATATTTTCAAGGAATAATAAACACCACTACATTGGACTTGTTCTTGTTCTTCTTGTTCGCCTGGAAGGTGCAACTAGATGTGGGGCAATACTGCTGACCTGATGATGGGTTGTGATTACACAGGGAACCCAATCATTACCTTGGAGATCGCTTTCCCATTCCTTTTCTTTTTTCTTTTTTCTTTTTCTTTTTTTAACATGTATACCAAGGGAGCACGGCATAAATAAATTTGTTGATTGAAATGAATAAATGAAAGAAATAGGAGGCGAGAAGAGGAAGGAGAGGAAAATCAGAAGAAAGGATAGACTTGTTTGCCGAGGAAAGGAAAACTAGAGAATCTGAAGAAAAACCTCGTAATTGACAGAGAAAAAAACCAACATCAAATCTAACGATGTATGGCATACAATGAAAACCTCAATAAATGTGAAATAAAATCTTAGCTGATCTAGGGGGCGGAGGGCGGCTAAGACGGGGTTGATCCAAAATCTAACCGATAGTAATCCCGGATTTGATTGGTATGGTGGGCGGTCTCACCGCCACGCCTCCTGTGCCCCACCCCTGTAATGTTGGAAGACTGGAACCCATTGAAAGACTCCATCATTTTATAATCTTGTTTTTTATTTAATCTTTTCAATATTATTGACAAAGCTAGAATGTTCTTTGAGCTCACTTTTATGTGTACCCCTCTTCATGACAACTCTAAGAATTCAATTGTTTTAGCACAGTATTTAACATTAGAGCGAAGAGAAAAAAACGCGTATGCAGGCAAAATGCGAGCAAAATGCCTCTGGTATAAGTTGATATAGATACTTGGATGCAAAGGTCCGACCATGCACTGGAAAAAGTTATAATTTAAATAATATTTACATTTTTTAGCTTGTTTAATATATAACAAGGCCATTCAACAAATCGAAATATGGGGACCAATTTAAACTGACTATTGTTCTGACCAATTTGAACTGACTTACACGTGAAAACGCTTTTGTGTTTCCAGGCTAGTCAGTCCAGAACAATAGTTATTCAAATTGTTACCATATTTCGATTTGGTTTATACTGATTTCAAATTTCAATTTGCAGTAAAACAGCTAGGAAGTTTAACACTGCTTGCTTCGTGACTCAGTTTGGGACAGCTTCCCATAGTTCCTGAAGAGTAAAGCCATCTTTAAGCTTTTCGATAGCCAGCCCTAGATGCTCAGAGAACACAGGTTCACGATCACTTGTCTGGCCAAGAAAAAAATAGAGTACGTCAGATATACATTCTTGCAAGGGTTAAATATTGAAAGTGATCAACAGGGATCCCGGTAGGAATTTGGTTGTGGGAGTGGGGGGGGGGGGGGTGGGGGGGGGAGGATCCCAGAGGAGAAGGGCTGGGGGGAATTTTGACCCTAAAAATAGACCTACACACTGACTTAAGGTCGCGTTTGGACTTGATAAATTACAGTAAATGTCGAGATCACATCACATCACAACAACACATAACAAGTTGTGAAAAGCTTTGCCCCCTTCCTAAAAAAAACTATCAAGGCTGAAAGACCCGAGAGGTAAAGAGGCGAATGTACAACCGCTATACCACCCTTTCTCCCCAGCACAGATACTTCGTACTAACCTTGTCTCCGTCGGCAAARTAAGCCTGAAAAAGTAAAGAAGAGGAAATCAGAATAAGGAAAACGGCAGGGAGGGAAATAAAAGTCGACAAACACAAATAAATAAATAGAACAAAAATCAATACTTTTAATGTGAAATTTCAAAGCAGAAACTTTACCCACTTGCGGCCAGCATAACAGGGAATACTATTATCATTCAATTCTGCAAAGAACGTGCGTGATACGGGAAAAGACAATGCCTGATATGAGACCGTATCAGCACTTCTCATCCGCTCGCGATCGGGTACGATAAAGTCTAGAGGGAGTTTGAGCATTTCTTCGCGGAATTAAATGATAAACAACTTATCAGTAGCCTAAGCATCTGTACGGCTGTGCATTTACTCGCCTACAGGCTCGCCAAAATACTCCTTGACTCGTAAAAATACACAGCCGTATCAGATGCTTAGCCGACTGATAACCTCTATATAACAATGATATTTACAACAATTTCATAAAATTATTACGTGAACCAGAAAACTCAATCTTCGCTAAATCTCAATACCTCTGGTTTAACAGCTTCCGTCAGTCAAATCTCAACGATATAAGGTATTATAATTTTTGGAAGCCAACAAGACCCCATCCCGATGATCAGTAGAATTATCTGGTCGCGTAATGATTGGCGTAAGATCGAGGGTAAAGTACTCACAGCGAATGCATCGGTGGTTCCTTCGTTAACGATCTCTATATCATCTTGTACAGGGTCTACTATCACTTCCTCTAGAGGCTGAGGCTGTTAAACAATGTAACAAATATCAAAGTCACACAAAGATCAGATATGTTGTGTGACTAAGTGCTTTCCTTGCCCTGTTTGATACAGAGGTCCACTATGTCTCTTCTCTACTGAAATTAAAAAGAACTTTGCAAGAAGCATGCATGGCAAACAATGTGGTGCTGTGTTCAAGTGAGTTGATCATATACCATTATCTCCTCTATCGTGACTTGTCAAAATTATCTACGAAATACATCTCTACCGGCTTTTCTTACGCTACCTTATCTTCCGTTTCGAATTCAACCCCAAAGATTGGGCTTGCACTATACACCTGAAGATGAAAGTAAAAAGCACTATAATGTACCATCACTACCACTACTATCTCCATCACTACCATTTCCACCACGAACACTAGCACACCATTAACACTAACACCGCAATCAACATCATCATTACTACCCCCACCACCACCATCATCACTACCATCACCATCACCATCACCATCACCATCACCGTCACCGTCACCGTCACCGTCACCGTCACCGTCACCGTCACCACCACCACCACCACCATCACCATCACCATCACCATCACCATCACCACCACCATCACCATCACCATCACCACCACCACCACCAACAACCCAATGTCACCTATCATCATCACAAACATCATTACTACTACTTCTGCTACCACCATCACTACCACCATCATCACTATTACCAACCCAACACCCCTCCCTACTATAGACTAGCCCCAAGTCGTCTCTTGTCTCCCGCGATAGTCTTTTATTGGAGCGCACTTCTACTACTACCACCACCATCACTAGACCACCACCACCATGGCCCATCATCAAAATGGTCGTCGTCTTTCTCATCATCATTCAAAACATCTTATAATGTTTCACTTTTTTTTTTTTTTTTTTTTTTTTTTTTAAAATACACATTTAAAACTGAGAGTCCGTTACTTTTGAAAAGTATTTCATCTTACCATAGTTAATAGGACTAACTATGATCTTACCTTTTGTAAACTCTGTATCTCTTTAACAGCTTCTTGTAGTTTTTCCACTGGATCGATACGAAAGCCCAACACGTATCCTCCGCTCTACAAAAATAAGATAATACTATATGATGACTGGAGTCGTTGCTGTGTTGGAAGATTTTTATGGAGTTAATAATAAAAAGTGTCAGTATACTTTAGCGTAATAATTTGTGACACAACATAAAGAAATGAAGAAATAATCAAAGAAACATAAAGTGTTTTTAAGAATCCCAACTGGCAAGGAGGCAAATCAGTTGGCTATTTACGAGCATGGCCGAGAAACTGAATTCGAACTAATCAGAGATCAGGAGAACAAAACTTCTGCTCGGATATTCAGTTTGCTTGGGGTTACATACTGCAAATGCTAGTATAATGAAGTATGGGAATCAATGGTGACGTAGTGGTAGTACACTCGCCACTCACCTTTGACAAAAGCCGTTTCCTTGATTAAAAGGGGGAGGGATACAACCATTTCTTGAAAGTTTACTGCAAATCTCCCAGCCCTCCCCACCCTCATTAAAAACGTATCTTCCCCTAACGAAAGATAACATTTTAAAATAAACTACTTTAAACATTGCCTTATATTACCTGTTGGGATGTTTCCACGACAAGTGCTAAGCCAAACTTAGAGTCTCGAATTCGAACAGTTTTCTGGAAAAGAGAGAAATAAATTAAATGGTTAATTAATGTATCATGGGTTAGAGAAAGACATTTTTCATATTAACCGGTTTTAAAAAAAGATGAATTCTCTCCACTTTGTTGGTTTTTCCATTGAATCAAGTGTTTTTCTCTGGGTTCTCCAGTTTTTCTCCCCCAGATCAACCTAACAAGGTAAATTCAGATTTGATCTATGAGTTAGCCATGGCCTACCTGCAGGCAGGTGCTGCACGAGAGAACACAGGGTCCCTTTTGCTGTAAATTGCACCAACCACCAACCTCTGCCATTAAAACCCCCATACCCAATCCCACAATCAACATATTAAGAATTCAGTAGTAGTGGCCAGACACTGAGGATGGTCACTGCCAGAGTTTCTGTACATCCTCAGTGCTTCCTTCCGTACCTCCGGTACTGGGTGAGGTAGTATAGGAAGACAGGGATGCCATACATGTGGTCATCCCAGCCACGTTAAGAACTAATGTAATGTTAGGCAGCAACTTCTCCTCAGTTATTTATTAAGAGACCCTGAGTGTTAGTCCAGCCAGGGATTGAATCCAGGACCTCCCACACAAAGATTCGATGCTTAACTAACAAAGTCGATTGGGTTGTGGTTTATGTTGATTTTATCAATTTCATGGATTGTATTTTGGTTTAAAGGTCATCAAAATACTTGACACACAGCTTACCATTTGTAGATATGGAATACTGACATTGAAGGTGTCATTCATATTGGCATGCCAAACCAAGCGAACATTTGTGATGTAAAATGTACCAAGGTTACCCTTTGAACAGAACAAAAATTATCAATTGTTAATATATTATTGTCATGGCTGCTGAGCTATCGGTAAATAATTTGGACAAGTGCATGATTTGCAGTACAAGGTGTCAGTCAGTGGTTGGTCAGGTGTCAGTCAGTGGTTGGTCAGGTGCCAGGCAGTGGTTGGTGAGGTGTCAGTCAGTGGTTGGTCAGGTGCAAAGCAGTGGTTGGTGAGGTGTCAGTCAGTGGTTGGTCGGGTGTCAGTCAGTGGTTGGTCGGGTG